CTCTCTCTCTCTCTCTCTCACACACACACACACACACACACACACTACTCTCTCTCTGTCTCCAGCCCCTAGCATCCCTCATGCTCATTTCTGCTTCCTCAGGGAAATGGCTGGCTCCCAGCAGAGCAGCCCCAGAAACAACAAAAGCACCATAAATAAGCCAGCACAGACTATAAACAAGGAAGAGAGAGGTGTCTATCTTCTTGTCTGCGCCAAAGCCCTCCTGAAGAGGCAGACTCTGGGGGCGTTTTTATAAAATCCACAGCCCATTACAAATATCATTCTTCTGTCAAGGAATTAAGAACGGAGGAAAGAGGGAGGGAAGCGAGCACTCTCATTTTATGAAGCTCATAAATTGGATTCTTAAACCAGACAGGAGCAGTACAATAAAAAGACAGTTTGAACCTATCTCACGAACATAAATGTGAAAATCTCCAACAAAACTGGCAAATTTAGCCCAACAGTATATGCAAGTTTTTGAGAGTTTGTTTGTTTTATTATAATCAACTTATATTTGCCCCAAGATGGTGCAAGAAGAGAACACTGTTAGTGGGACACACATTATCAATAGAAACCCATCAGGCAACTCACAGACATGCTATGTGGTCTGGGGCCTGTACCACAGGGCCAACCCTAACCAAACCAGGTTGCTATTGGGTTGGTTCTGACTCATGGCCACCTCACATGTTTCAGTTCAGATGCAGAAATGGGTTCTGCTTCATTTCATGTCTGTGACCTTTCAGAAGCTGATTGCCAATCATTTCTTCTGAGACATCTGAGAGTTGAACTGCCAATCTTCCCTTAATAACCCGGTGCTTAACTGTTTGCACCCAATGACTCCTATTACAGGAACAGAGAACCCCAGAAGGGCCCTCATGGTACTTTTGTCTTGATTCCAGCAAGGCCCCGATTCCAGAGGGCAGACTGGGGTGGATAATTGATGGCTCTCTTCAGGTGAAACTCATCTGAAAAGAGAGTTACTTCCCATAGGGGTTGTTTGTCAAGTGTACACAACATCATTTGCAGTCAAACCTCTTTCCTTCACTTTGCCAGTTCTGGGTTTGCCTAAGGTCTTATTGCATTTCACCATTAGGAGTGCAAGGAACAGGACTAGCTTTGTGAAAGAGAAACTAGAAACCTTGTAGAAAAAGTGCAATAATGTGCTGTTTTAGCCTAGCCTTCTGGGGAACCCTGGGATCCCATGTTGATGAAGTCGAAGTCAAATGCGCCCACTTAGATGCCTCTGCATCTGATGTGACTCAAAACAGCTCAATGGGCTCTTATGTTACCCAGAAGGGTCACACCCAGGCTTCAAGAAACAACGTGAAGAAGGGCAACTGGCTCACTCAACTAAGACTCCAAAGATCTATGACATGCCATTCTACCTGGCTCTACTCTGCAGACCTGGGAGGTGTTTTGTCTGCTCAGAAAGTCAATGTATCTCTCCAAAGCAGCTAGGAATTCAACATGAATAATCTGAATCTATATCATAGTGGTTTTCTGGAGACTAAGGTGCATCTGATACAGGCCATGGTCTTTGCTATCACTTGTTATGCATCAGAGAGTTGGACAATGATTAAGGAAGATAGAAGGAGAATTGATGCCTTTGAGCTGTGGTGTTGGAGAAGAGTATGGAGGGTACCATGGACTACTAGGAAAACAGATTCATCCTGGAAAGGGTTAAACCGGGTGGCTCCTTGGAGGCAAGGATTCTGAGGCTTCATCTAATATACTTTGGACATGTAAGGCGGGAAAGGTTCTTGGAGAGGGACATCATGCTTGGTAGGGTGGAGAGATGGCGCAGGAGGGGAAGGCCCTCTATGAGGTGGATTGATTCAGTGACTGGGGTAATCGGGATGGGTGTGTCAGAGTCAGTGTGATTGGCACAGGACAGAGGAGAGTTTAGGGCTGTTGTACATAGGGTCGCTATGAGTCGCAAGTGACTCGACGGCACATAACAACAACAACAAATAGCATAGTGCTTAGAAAGTTAACCAATTCTCAGGGCCTTAAGGTTCAGCTTACTGTACCGATTGATTCCGTAGGTCAGAGTTACACATGCAGGACCCAGGAAGCCCATGACTTTGAAACAAAAAACATCTGTTTGAGTTGCACATTCACTATTAATTAGAGGTGACTTTGAGCAAATTATGGAAACAAAGTGAGCCTCCGCATTCCTCATCTGTAATATGGGGCTATTAAAGGGTTTAGGGAGTATTAAATATTAAGTGAGCAGAGTCCCAGTTAATGGTAGCTGTTTCTCTTGATATCTTTTCCTCTGCATGATCATGCAAAGATCAGTCTCTGAGTTATGCTGAACTCCTTCTCTCTGACCTTCACTTGTCAAGGGATCATGACTGATTTCAGAGTCCTAGAGTCTGGAGGCTGCATCACATTTCTTTTACATTGATTCAATTTTACCTTCTCCCTCTCCATCTTTGCCTTTTGCACTGCAGAAGCAGCTTCATGCAGCTGGGCTTGTCTTCACAGCCTCATGGACAGACTCTATCTCTAGATTAGTTTACCTGACTGTGCTCTCTGCTAGCTCTCAGGATTCTTCTGAGAAGTGATGGCTAAGTTGAGGAAGAGTTGGCTAGCACATCTTTCCCACAAAACATCCTCCTCTCACCTTCACTCTGCCTGAATCTAGAGCCCAATTTCTTCAGCAGGAATTCCTGAGAGAGAACAAGCAATCTAACTGACTCCAGGTTCTCCTCTTGAACCTACAACCAGGAGAAGATAACATAGATGAATGGGATCTTCTAAGACTCAAATCCCTATGCACATCCAAAAACTTCTCCAGTAGGGTAAAAAGGGAAGCCACTGACTGGGAAAAAGTATTCGGTAATAACATATCAGATAAGGGACTTATATCCAGGTTCTCCTCTTGAGTCCATTCTCTTTTCGTATTTTTTAAAGAAAATTTTTATTTTATTCTGGTCTACTTACAAAGTTCACATCACTGATTTTCACACTAGATCTTTCCCATTTCCTTTCTGAGACCACTCTTAACAGCAGTTTCTAAAGAAGCTCTTCCCAAAGGCAGTATGAAAGGCCCGAGGAGACCCTAGGCCCAGGAGTCCTAGGGTGTGAGGTTTGGAGGGGAGAGTAGGAGCTGACAGAAACAACCAACTGATCTCAGGCTTTGTGGTAGAGTGAGGAGAGATTTAGCAATGAGAGCAGTGATAGGAAATTGGGCATTGATTGAGGATGATAATGGTTGTACAATATAATTAACATAATTGGTATCATTAAATAGTATACTTGACAAAGATAGAATTGGCAATTATATACATATAGAAGGGAGCTCTGGTGGCCTAGTGGCACAAGAAGTTGTGCTGTGGTCCTGAAGGCACGTGGTTTGAGGCCACAGGAGAAAGGTGGGAAATCTCCTCTAGGGCAATTAACTGCCTCAGAAAACCCACTGGAGGGTCAGCTATGGATGGGACAGATCCAACTCTACAGTACACAACAACATACATTAAAAATGGTACATTTATTTTTATAATAAGAAAAGAGAGAATCTGCTACTGTTGCTTATGTACAACCAAACACTTTATGGAATTTTATGTCTTTTTTTTTTCTTTCTTTAGACGTTGAGAGTTATGGTTTCACAGGACATTCCAATCAGTTGGCTTAATAGTGTCGTTAGTGTATCTGTTCTAGCTCCTAATTTTTGGTATAGTGCCTGAGGTCTTAAAAACTTGCAAGTAGCAGCCACTCAAGATACACTAAGTCTATCTGCTTGGATCAGCAGAGGAAGGAGAGTCAGGAACAGGAAAGAGGGAACAGAGAATGGAACTTATGGCCTCTGTGAACAACTGCCTCCCTAGCGAAGGGCCTAGAAGAACTGAATGGTGCTGACTACCATTACTGAGTTTTTTTGATCAAAGATTCTGTAGAAGAATCTGGCTCAAAAGGGGGAGGAGAATGTAGAATAGAATTTCAAAGGAATTCTGATCTTTTGGAGCCATTGGATGACCCCCAAAACTCCTACCCTGTGATAATCTTTAAATTTTAAATAAAACACCACAACAAGATAAAGGTAAAAAACCCAATTGCAAAATGGGCACAGGATATGAACAGACACTTCACTAAAGAAGACATTCAGATGGCGAACAAACACATCAAGAAATGTCCAAATTCCCTAGCTCAAAGAGAGATGCAAATCAAAACAACTATGAGATATCATCTCACTCCAGTAAAAACAGCAAAATTCTACAGAACAGCAAGCAACAAGTGCTGGCGAGGTTGTGGAGAAATTGGAACCCTTATTCACTGTTGGTGGGAGTGTAAAATGGGGCAACCACTGTGGAAGACGGTGTGGCGCTTTCTCAAAAAGTTGCAAATAGAGATACCATTTGACCCAGAAACCCCAATGGGAATAAGCCTAATGAAACCAGAACTCCCACCCAAACAGTAATAAACATATGCACACCTATGTTTATTTCTGCTTTGTTCACAATAGCAAAGAGTTGGAAACAACCCAAGTGCCCATCAACAAACGAATGGCTAGAGAAGCTGTGGTATATTCGCATAATGGAATA